GGTTATATAAAGCCCTTAATAGGACCCCTAATATAGACTGTTACTGGGTGGGGGCAGTACCCAAACTAAACACAACTCACGACTGGAATGGAGGTGTCTTGAGCTTGGTTGGCCTTTGGAGGCCTTAGAAAAAATATTAGCGTACAGGGTCTTTATGAAACCAACACAGGGAAAACATTCAATTGTCCCACAGGTCAGCCCAGTTGAGGAGTCTTGGGAAGGCTTATTGCAAAAGGGATTGTAACCCTAAACCCTAAACCACGGGGTACCTCCCCGTTGACTGTTCACCTACGAAAACCGCCAAGACAGCTTTTTGTTGACATGTTCAACGAAATTGCGTGTTGGTAGCCGTGGAAGCAAAAGCCATGCTAAAAGGTCTTCATCAATGGTGGGACTTAGGTGTGTGAGCTTCTGTGACCTAAACCCTAAACCCCTAATACCCTAAACCGCAAACCCGACACCCTAAACCTTAAACAAACCAGTGATGAGTAGAGGAAGGCAGCACCTACAAGCCTCGAACTCTGCATCTAAAGCTTGGAATTATGGGCTGGTTAGGGGGTTAAGGTTTATAGTATGGACCCTTGATGCTGGGGTCCTTGTATACCTATTCTATGCCTTTTAAAGCCCTTGAAGCCCAATTTGAAATCATAGTTGGGACCCTGGAAACAGGTAGGGGCCCATGATTCGGACCGTAGGCTACATGTGAGGCGAAGCTTATGCGCTGTTTAGGGCTTAGCGTATAGGGCGACGGCGTTCCCCTCTTGGCACTGCGTAAGGCATGCGAGGTTTCTCAAAAACAGGGGCGCCCGTGAACCCAAAGGGTGGATAGGTTACAAAGGGATGATTCTGGATGTTCCATAACTTCGGGCAACAATGCATGGCATAAGTGCTGAAATGCTCCATACCCTACACCCTGTAATCTCATGGCAGGGACACCAAGAAGGGACCCTACTTTGTGGAAAACCCCCATTCGGGAATGCACACAAGGCGGACATTAAGAAATTTGCTGGAGGGTGGGGTAGGGGTACATTCAAGCAGCTTTGCTGCCAAGGGTCTGCGATGGTAACAGACGAAATCGTATTCTTCTTCTTGACACTAAACCCGAAATGGTGCACCCGACCAACGGTATGAAAGGTACTAAATGGGCGCGTTTCCACGCTCAGCATCTTGACCTTCACAGAGGAAGACTGTTTCCCTAGGCATCCACAAGGCCCAATGTAGGTAATACTTAGAGACTTTAGGGCCCAATGTAGGCATTAGTTGTATACATGGATCCCTAGGGCTTTACCCTACATAGTAGGTTCCATTTCTTTTCCATTATCCCTATATAATCCCTATATCCCCCCTATGTTGTTATATTACCCCTATATTGCCCATGGGACTGTTTTGGTATAGGGTTTAGGGCTGCCATCCCAAAGGCTTCAGATTTGAACCCATTTAAAGCGCTGAGCTTCCGTGCAACTACGGGTGAACTTCTGACTTGCTGTTGTGAGTGCACTTGCTAAAATGATAGCCTGCAATACCGCCAGTTGGGGACCGGTTCTTCACACATCGCACCATTTGAGCTACAGTCTAAACTCCTAGTATCCCCCTTAAGAACCCCTGTAATAGTCCCCTACATACTCCCCTATACAAGCCCCCTTTACACAGTTTAGACCCTAAACCCGTAAACCTTAAACCCTAAGTAAAGGGGGTTGTATGATCCCCTATACAACACCCTTTCAGGAGTTTAGACCCCAAACCCGAAACCCCAAAGGAAAGTATTTCCCTATATTCCCCCCCTATATATGCACTCTCAAGGAGTTTGGACTATAGCTCAGTTGGTGTGAGGTTTGGCCTGGTTCGGATAACTCCCTCCGAGCAGAAAGCTAAGCCTGCGGGGGACGTCCCACAATTAGGGGTGCCTTTTAAAGGGGTTTTAGGGGGATATATAACCCCAAACCCTGACCACTAAACCGCTTTTTTAATGTTTAGAGTTCAGGGTTTAAGGCATTCTGGGGTCCCCCCATAACAAGGATTTGTAGCATTTTTGGAGGTCTATATCGGGGTCCTCGAGGGAAACTAGCAGCCATCTTCTGGCATGCCATCAAGAAGCGGGGGCCTTAAAGTGGTTTAGAGTTAAAGGTTTAGGCGAAGCAGCCCTTGAAGACGATCCTCAATCAAGATAAGCAAAACACTACTGTTGTCCATAAGCCCTAAACTCTAGACCCATGTCCCCCGTCCATGAGCCCTAAACCCTAAACCCTGATCACCTAATCCGTGAACTGATGATATAGCGTTGGCTTGTAACTCTAAATCCTAAACCCTCAAGTCCATATGGACTTACCATTGCTTACCCTCAAGTCCATAAACCCAAACCCCCGGATAATTTAGAATAATTTCACGTCTCAAGTTCAAGCCATGTTGGTACTATTCCCTATATAACCCTAAACCCTAAACCCAAACCACCATTTAGGGTGTGGTCGGGTGAGGTTGCTTTAAATTGCCTAGTAAACCCTAAATTCAACAGCTTCAGGTTGACGCGGTTTAGGGTTGAGGGTTTAGGGTTTAGGGCTTAGGGTTTAGGGGTTTAGGGTTTAGGGGTTTAGGGGTTTAGGCCCCTAAACCCTAAACCCGCTTTCCTGCCTCTCCTCACCACACATGAGCCATAGTCTAAACTGAGGAGTATTCCACATGAATAACCCCTGGCCTATGATACTCTCCTATAGAATCCCCTATACAAACTGCTTCAAGGAGTTTAGACTCTAAACCCTAAAACCTAAACCCTAAATAAGAAAGGGTGTTATGTAATCCCCTATGTAACCCCCTTTAAGGAGTTGAGGCCCAAAGTTTGGTAAGACTTTGATACTTCTTGCTCTGGGAACCCTCAAATCTAAGCCCTACACCCTAAACCCTAAGCCCTAAACCTTTAGCCGGGGAGGAAGTACCCCTTCTTTTGGGCTTTGGAGCCTCAGGTAGACAAAGGAAAAACTCCCTGATCTCTAAATGCTCTCATCTCAAGCTTCCACCCTTGCCCCAAATGAACTATAATCTAAACTCCTCACAGGGGATTTCAGGGTGCACATATAGGGGGGGGGGGGGCCATGTATAGGGAATTACTTTCCTTTGCGGTTTAGGATTTAGGGTCCAAACTCTTGAAACCAACTCCAATGAACCTCCACGCCTTGTAGGCCTGTGGAGCAAGGCAAATCATCTTCGTCGATGGCCGCAGCCAAATGCCTGCAGGGCTTCACATTTCCGAGATTTATGGCGTGAAGGATGTAGTGTAGGGCCGGTATGATTGCTCACATTTCTTGCGGTCTCGTTGAGGAGCTCGACACTGTATACGCTAGTTATGCATGGAACCTCCAAGCAACCCGAAACTTAACCCCAAAACCTGGATCCCTTGTATCCTTGTAAACCTCCAGTTTCCGTGTGTTTGCCATTTGCTTTGTCATTTTGATTCTGGATTACTGCGGTAATGTGCCTAGCCTCAAACTGTAAACCCAACCCCTACTGTAACTCCTGTATATCCCTATGTAAGCCCTGCATATCCTTATCCAATGTCTATATATCCCCATCAAATCCCTACAGCAGAATCCCTATCTGAACCGCATACAACCCATATATCCCTCTCGAATCAATCCTCAGCTATCCCCCTGCAATCCCTATGTAGTCCCTCTATAACCCCAAAATTATCCCCATACAACCCCTTTACTCTGTTTAGGGTTTAGGGTTCTATAAGGGCGTATTTGGTCTAGGTTTTAAGGGGTTTCCCAGAAACAAGTAAGTGCATAGTCCAAATCCCCCAACAATAATGAAAACAAAAAAAGCAATCATTCTACATACTTTGGGGGCGCCCAGACAGGGTTTTGGCTGAGGGTTTGGGGGACCATGCCCTGAATGTTCTTGAGGCGAGGAACTCTTAAACATGATCACTTTTAATCTGCATTGTGCTCAGGTCTCCATCAAACATATACCAGTTGTTCAACAATGCCCGGCATACCCTGCCCCAAGTCCTAAGCCCTAAGCCTGACCCTTAGGCCGAACTATCGGAACCGCTTGCCAGGAGCCCGCTGATACCCGAAGCAAGCCTAGACAGTGTAGCCTAAACCGTAAATTAACGCCGGAGGACGCGGACCGCGCTGAATGCAGCTCGTGCAACCCTCCACGGTCCTTTGCGGGCGGCTTGTCAGGGATGGGCAATCATACTGTTTACCGTGTAGAAGGTTTGAGGTTTGGAGCTGGGCAGCTAGAATTGTAGGCGTCACAGACTAAGGCGAGCGTTGACGTTGTGCAAAAACAACGTGGAACCCCGTAGCCTCATTGTAGGAGGTAGGGCCATCAGGACGAGACAGGGAGCATGCATATACCCCTCCAAGGTGTCCCAAGAAACCCAAGCAGTGCGGGTCCTGGAATATTTTGGTGCCTATATTGGAGCCTCCCTACTTTGGAAAATTCACATACCGTGGATCAAAATGGGACCCGACCTACATAGCTTCGGCCTCCGTATGTACTATCTGGCGTACTTGGACTCGTAATGAAAGTGACAGCCTGTTCCGAAAGCCTGCCCATATCCATTCTCTGGGGGTTTGCGGCTGCTGGAGGGGTTTGGCTACCCCAACCAACAAGATGAGGAGCCTGTGACCATCATAATTTCCCGGTTGGGGTTACCCAAACCTCAGTACCCAAAACCAAATTAACCACAAACCCAAACCCTAAAACCCTAAAGCCTAAACTCTTAACCTCTGCATGAATTATCAGAGGTGTCGGACTTGCGGCTTTGGCAGTCTATAGGGCTTTGGGCTTCAGACCTTCGAAGAAATTACGAAGGAAGAAGGGTTTGGCTTTAGGGCGTTCCTTTTGTTGGAAGCGCAGGATTCCAGGATCCTGCAATGCCCTCTCCCAGCCTAGACCCTTCAGAAGTTCGGGTTTGGGAGTTAATGCGCAATAGTCATAAGATAAAAGCCAAAACATCTTGCAAAGAGACAGATGTTCTTTTCAAGGACCATGACAATGTTTGCAAGGTGCAAAAACGGTGTCTACAAGGAATATAGCGGGGAACTTACAAATTATACAAGGGTTATAGACCTTCAACCCTAACCCTAAATCAAGGGCTTTATTGTTACCGATGCTACATGGACCTCTGTGGTCTGATCCTAAGCTTCGTATGCATCACCCTCCTCCAAGCTGACATGGAGCCCACCCCCAAGAAAGGGTTTAAGGTGCAGGGCTTAGGTTTTAGGGTTNNTATAAAACATGTAGTCTTGTAGCCGACCATGTAGATGTCGTACGACCTACATACCCCTGTAATCCCTTTGTCTAGACCCCGAAACCGTAAACCCCCATAGAATCCTTGAAATACCGTGTGCGTTCGGGGCGCGGGTTGTTTTCTACTCAGCCAAATTTAAAAGTCTGGGGGACAAACAGAAAGTGCTACGCATTAAGAATGCTATGATGTTAGGGCCTAGGGACCTTATACCCTTTGCTAACCCCGGACCTAAGCCCTAGGTACAGCCTAAATCCTCTCAAATCCTGATAACCAAAGCCTGAATCTACAAACTCTTGTCCCTAAGGACTAAACTCTAAACCCATGAAGTCCCTCCCTTATTGAAGCTGATGTCCCTACGTCTTCAGATAGCCCAATACCAATGAGCCAAGGAAGATACCTTAGAGCAGAAGGGATCCAACTATTGCAGTTTGATGCAGATTCTCAATTTGAAGGGGTCTTCGGGCTCTTTACTTTCACGAACCACGACATTCCGGTAGTAGGGATCTCGTTCAACTGGGGTGTTAAGCAGGCCTGTATCTGCAGCACCTTCTGCACCCCAAATACTACGCCACCGGAACTCTATAACGTCCAGACTGATCTGCTGGTCTAATCTACCCCCTCGAAGGCAGTCCTAAAGGGTGCCAAGACGTCTGAGTATTGTACAGATGTTTTAATGGCTTGTGGTCCCAGCTGCAGAGCGCATTATATGAACTTGGCTCAGAAAGCGGGCCTCAAGACTAGCAACCAGCCGTATATGGCCGCAAACCAAACTCTAAACGACCGCCAAGTGTCGGCTGATTCTCTCGAGGAAGCGCCTCCTGCTTTTTGTGAATGGTTCGACATGTCGGGATTGTCTCCAAACGAAAGTACCTTTTGGGGGGGGGGGGNNTCCATATTGCCCCAGAATGAAAATGCCATTTAGCGCTCCACTCTGCCCAATGAAACCAATACCTTATTCCTATCAAAGAAGATAGGCCGCGGCAACATTAATGCCGAGCCACAAACTCTTACTTACGGGCTTTGCAAGCCATCCCTAAACCTAAACCCTCAGTTTACGGGCATTGGGCCCTCTAAGCATGCTGCACAAAACGTCCCCGCAAAAGTGAGAGATACCCAACTTCCTAGTCCAAGGCAAAAAATGGACAAAAACTGGACAACTCTTGTAGGGTTTAGGGTTTAGG